GAGAGGTTGTGAGGTCTGACTTTGGGCCTGATGGAGAATCAGAGATCACCCAGCTCAAGCAACTTCAGGTCTGCAAACCTGAAGGAAACTTCACCTTCAGCAACCACTCAGCATCCTCAGCACCCTCTCCCATACACTGGCACCCTTAAGCACAAGCAGAGCCCTGAGAATAAAATCCTGCAATTCCTTCTGAAGGCAGGACCTCCATGCTGCTGCTAAAGCCAGGCCTTGCAGCTCCTTTTTCAGTAGAGAATGCTGCATCAGGTTCACACAGCCAGAGCCTCCTCCCTCAAGATGTGCACTGACAAACTGCAGGGAGCTTGTGCTCTGCAGCATGCTTGGAGATCCTTGTGTACCGAGAAAAAAATACCAATTCCCCTCCAACTTCCAGCAGTGATACCACTAAGTTTTAAACAGTAAAAGTCAGATGGAAGCTTAGCCTTATGAGTAATTAATTTGTAGCAAGTGTTAATTGCTAAGATTTATGTATTTTCACGTGATTTACTATCATTAGAGCACCCAAACACCAACACTGCACGGAATGACAGAAGCAGGAACCAATGGTGAGTTCCAACCACATTAAAGGAGTCACTTCAGCCCTCATTCTCACAGCACAGCTGATAAAGCAACTGAGTGCTGCTTACAGAGTTTGTGTCATTCAACAATCTCTAGAAATACATTTGATATATATTTCTATTTAATACAGCCTAAAAGGATCCAAGTGGACAAAATTTTTTGGATGTCTTTAGTGGACACAGCAAGATTTTCACTGTGATAATATCATTCTGTAAGCACTGCTGGCACAAAACAAAACCATCCCTCAGACAGCACATTTCCTTTAAGGGTTGAGAATTCCCAATGAGGAAAAACAAACTCAAAATGAGGATATAGCCTGAAGACTAAAGCTTTCTCTAAAGGGCTGCTATACTTGCAACATGCTGCATTTCTTCCAGGGATCAAGAGCAGGACTTCAGCAATTCAGTGATCTCTGTGCCTTGTTTCAGACATGTGCAAATTTCTGCCAGAAGTTAATTCCCTGATTCCTGTGAACTCAATTCCAGTCTCTGCATCTGAATCAAACTTTGCTGCACTGGCATTTCACACTAGGAAGGAAATTCACAAATCAAATGAAAACTTAGGTCTCCTGTTGTGAATAAATCCCAAAGATCCCATGAATTGTTGGCACCACGAGGTGTTCTGTCAGAGCAGCTATAGCCCTGATGTGAGAGGCACTGGGTGGGTTGGGAAAAGGGAGTTAAAATAAACTAAATTCAGATGAAACAGCTGTGCAGTAACTGCACTGGTAAGTTTGTACTGATGCACATCTGCCTCACCTATTAGCAGGAAAATCCCTCCCGGAATCACACTGGGCATGTCCACATGTTCTGCCATTACTCCTGAGTTATCAAAATAACATGGAAAATTTCTTCCCTGCACTTCCAAAGCGTGCCTCAGGATTTGTTGCACTTGTGTTACAGAGGGATTTTCTATTTAATCTTCAACACAGAGCAACCACTTTTTGTCTTAATCTAAAGACATCTGTATTGGAAAAATGATCCAGCCTTGACCAAGGCTGTTGGCAACAAACACTGCTGCTTCTCCTGCAGGCTAATGCTCAAAAACAACTGATTGCCAACAATGAACAACGTTTTGGTACAGCCAGTGACATCTCTGAAAACACGACATAGACCACAGAGACCTCCAGGGAGGGCATTCTAGCCAAAAACCCAAGCTCACCTACATTTGAAACAGATTAAAATGGCTTCAAGGCAGACCCTGCGTTAGAAGAAGGCGCAGAGTCTCCATCCTTTGGAGCACACTGACAGCAGGATGCAGAAAAAGTCTGACTGACATCATTCACCCCCCACTCTCTCTCCTAGGATCCATTTCTTCATCTCACCACGTAGAACACGCAATTCTCCCTACGAACAGCTCTCCCCCTGAAACAGAACCTCCCTCCTACCAGCAGCACTGGTTTTCAGGACTCCTTTCATTTTTTCCCCTTAAGCACCCAACAGCATCATCTTCTTCTGTGATCTAAGCCCAAAAAGTAAGTACTTGTAAGCAGACACCATCCAATTAAATAAATTTCAATTTTTGCAGCTCTGTTACAACACACACACAATAAAGTGACCCACACAGGAGTGAGGTATGACTAAAGCAATGTACTGCAGTTACCATGACCTAGCCCAATAAAGATTTTAGAATTGAAACAAAAACAGAATCAGTGCTGAACCCATAAATTCATGGAAAGACTTAAAGAAAAGATCCTTTTAACGACTTAGAGCAAAGTATTTTTAAGTGACACCCCTGAGATGAAGACACAAAAACCCCGTTAAGTAGCAATTCATAATCAAAACAACATTTGCAGAATAATTTTGGAAAATTATAAAGCGTTACAAGAGGAACTGTACTTCAAATGGGATTCACAGCTTTCAAACTTTAAAAAAAGGTCAACAGAAAGTAGGTTTTAAAAGAACAAAGAAATCTAATGCTACCTATTCAAATCCATAAAAACACAAGAGGCCCCAATCCCAGCCAAACCATGTGTCGAGGATGACTCTGAGAGTCTAAATGAATCATCACCTTTCTGGGGGCTTTTTGAGTGCTGTTTTCTCTCTTCTGTGTTATTTTGTTCTTTGGAGTCACTATTTTTAATTCTCCTTTAAGGCAGCTTAAACCTAAAAAAAAAATAAAATAAAAGTAGAACTGAGCCACACAATGACATAAAAGAGAGCAATGAAGAACAAAATTGGTTAATACAAAAGCAATAGCCGGGCAAAATAGGAAGAGCCTTCACAAATTTGGAAGGAAAGGGGTTATTCATCAAAATCGGGATCTCTCCTGTTAAAGGAGGACACTCTCCCAGGATACTGAGGAGTTGAAGGGATAATAACGGCAGGACCGCTGCCCTGTCAAGGCAGCTCCTCCAGGGAATGGAAGTAAAGATAAGTGCTAAAGAATGGGACAGGAAGTAACCCAGAAAGCTGAGCTGCTGGGAAACCAAACCTCTCCCTCGCAGGAGTTCACGCTCCAGGAGCCGTCAGCGGCGCACACACACACACACACACACACACACACACACAAAAAGCCGGCCAAGCCCCGGCGCACAGCCCCAAGGCCCGGCGGCCGCCGAGGCACCGGGGGCGCCGCCGGGGGCTGGGGACGGGGACCCCCCTCGTTGGGCAGCCCCGGGGGCGGCCCGGAACCGGCCGGGGGAGCGGGCAGGGGTGGCGGGGGGCTGCGCAGCCCTTCCCGGAGGGAGCGGCGGGGGCTCCCCTCACGGCCCCGCACCCGCCGGAGGGGCTGCCCGGTGTGGGCGAGGGGAGGCCACGGGGTCGCGCCCCCCCCCTCCCCGCGCCGCGAGGGACCCCGGGGCAGCCGGGGTTACCTGCGTGACCCGCGTGCCGGAGCGGGGCGGGCCGGGGGCCCCGGGCGCGGCCGCCCCCCGCGCTGGCGGCGGCGGCGGGCGGGGGGTCGGGGGGGCCGAGCCGAGCGGGGACACTTCGCTCCGGGCCGCCCCCCTCGGCTCGCGGCGGGGTCGGCGGGCGGGGACTGACCCGCGCCGAGGCCAATCCGCGCCCGCCGCGCCGGCCCCGCCCCCGCCCGCGCGCCGCCGCCGCGCCACCATTGGCCGCCGGGCTGACGGCGGGCCCGCCCCCGCCCGCGCGCCGCCGCCGCGCCCCATTGGCCGCCGGGCTGACGCGGCCCCGCCCCGCGGCCCCGCCCCGCTGCCGTAAAGCCGCGGAGGAGTGGGGGGGTGGCTTTGCGACAGGGGCCGGCGGCGGCGGTTCCGGCGCTGTGACGGAGCGGAGTTTGGGCCTCGCGGTCCGCCGGGGGCGGGTGAGTGGCGAGAGTTGCCTGGCAGCGGCCGCCGGGCAGCGGGGCGGGGACGGGCCCGGGCGCTCCGCGGCTCGGGGTGACTAAGCGGGGCCGCGGGTGCGCGGACCGGAGGGGCGAGAGGCGCGGCCTGGAGCGAAAGAGGCGGGTCCGCATCGGGAGGGGCGGGGTGATGCGTTATGGGCGTGGTTTGGTTGTACGGGGGCGGGGCCTTGGGGAGCGATGCGGTGGCGGGAGGGGCTGAGGGGCGGAACGGGCTCAGGCGCTGAGGGGGAGCCCGGGAGGGGCTGAGGGAGAAACGGGCGGGTGAAGGAAGGGTCGCCGGCTGGTTGCGGGGCCCGCGGGTCTCTGAGCTGTGCGGATGCCGGGCTGGTGGCTGGGCGGGAGGCCTCGTTCGCCCTCAGCCCGGCAGGCCGGGGCTCGGGAGGAGCGGCGGCTCCGTGCTCGCTCTGTCACCCCGAGTGTCGCGGTTCCGATGAGCTCCCAGCGCTGCCGGGGCCGTGAGGGGGGTCCGGGTCCGCTCCTGCCGGCGGGGACTGAGGGCGCCCGGCCGAACTGCAGCCAAAGCGTCCGGCGTGCTGAGGTGTCACAGTGAACAGGGATTGTGCTGCTCAGGTTGTTTGCAAAGTCTGGAAGGAAATGACACGAATTTAGAGGCGTTTACAGTATTTCAGCGCTGAGCAGAAGCTTATTTATTGCGAGATGAGCCTACGAAATCATTGCGGGTATAAGGAGTCCAAAGTGTATTTTGGACTTAAATGCTATGATTCTAAACAGATCCAGAGGCTTCAGATTCATACTCAAAAGTTATGGACTGAGGTTTCATTTAGCTTTATCAGATACAATTTTATAATGAAACTAGGATGGAGTTTTGGATAGTTTTTTCTAGAAAAAAGGGCCTTTAAGGTCATCTCGTTCCATCCCTTGCCATGGCAGGGACACCTTCCAGTATCCCCAATTGCTCCAAGCCCTGCACAGCCTGGCCTTGGGCACTGCCAGGGATCCAGGGGCAGCCACAGCTGCTCTGGGCACCTGTGCCAGGGCCTGCCCACCCTCACAGGGAACAATTCCTTCCTAATTTGACTGAACTAACATTGTTGATAGCACATTTTCCTTTTTTTTTTTCTGTTACTAACACAAATGGCTTATATTGGCACACAATAACTCAGACATATAAGTGAAGAGGCATAAGTTTCTTCCCTCATTCTGTTTGCAGTTCCATTTGACTTTGGTTTTGATTTTAAAGCATTATTAATGATGAAAGTAACATACAAATCCCTTTTTTTTGTTTGTTTCTTATGTTCTGGGTAGGTTTCCTTTCTGTCTTTTATGTGATCAGTCTATATATAAGGTTTTTAGAACTGTTCCTGTTTATGCAGGAGTCTGGCTCTGTGAGGCATTGCCTTAATTGGTTTTTAGATGCTGTCGTGAGTAACTCAGATAAATAATACAAATAAGGGTTGGAGTTTGTCACTGCTTCCCTTTGCTCTTCAGCTTTGAGCTTTTCACTCTCGTGCTGTGTCTGAAACAAATTTAGTCCTTGTCTGATATTTTCTCCCTCTTTGAAGTAAATGCCATCAAAATAAGCCCCCTCACTTTTCATTTCCTTCAATGGCTTACGTTTGTGAGCTGTTGTCATGTGTGAGTGAGGCATATCTTAGAGATGCCTTTGTAAAGTTTGCAGATTAATGGTGGGGCACAAATGTGTTCTGGGAGGATGCAGGAAGGCACAGCCAGCACCTTGTGGTGGAGGTGGAATCCCACAGTGGGTGTCCTAGAAAAGTTCTGACTCCCTTCTGCCTTAACCACCCTGCTGAATCGTGTGAATTTGTGCCTGAGATCTCTTCATCTACCACACGAGGTGATAATTCCAGCTGATCTCCAAAACAGGAGTAAATGTGCTGAGATGATTTGACTTTATTAGGTATTCATTTAGGAAGAAATAAAGCTCAAGGATGGGAACAATAGCTATATAAAATATTCAGAGTGATTTCTGAAGAAATTTCATGAGGTTTCAGGTCATAAATTTCCACCTCAAGTAGAATTCTGAAAAGATTCTGCAAATGAAGAGGGAATTTATTGCCTGAAATACCAGATTTATTCTTAACATCCAGCAAAATGTGGAGTATGGGAAAGGATGGGGGAAGGGTTCTTGCTTTTATCAGGTGAGGAACATACTGTAACATTTTGGAGTTTCCAGGTCAGCCTTTGCTGAATGTGTCTTTAAAAATATCACACCAGAGGGAATTGTAGATTACTCCTGCAGGCAACTTCATGCTCTCACATTTTAGTTTCTTTTCTGAAGGAAATGCTTCCTGATGGTGGGAGAAGTGATGAGTCAGGATGGCACCTCTTGGGCTACCTCTGATCCTTTGTGCCTTTGGGAAGCCATTTTGTCAATCCAGGCTTCAGTTGCAAGGAAAAAATCAGGTTGTAAAAATGAAGGTGTAATTTTCAATGTTTGATGTTGCTTTTAAAACTTGTCAAGATTATAAGCTGGAACAGAAATGCCTCATATACTAATTTCTACAATTTCATTATTTTCTAATATTCTGCTAAAAAGAACTAGTAATTTAAAATATTTGGTCTGATGACAAATGCAGGTAAAACTTAGAATTTCTTGCTGGTTGGAAGACTGAACTGTTTTCTTCTTTTGGTAAGAAAGAAGAATTGCAGTATTTAAGTAAAAGCCAACTACAGGTGGATGGCTGCAGGAATTCTGCCTGCAATTCTACGTAGTTGATTATGTCAGACTTAGAGATGGGGATCCAAAAAGTATGCAAAGTATGAAAATTCCTATAATCAACTTTGGTTCCACTCCTAACTTCACCATAGATGAGTTTGTTGGTTTTAATTAAAAGCGATCTGGTTAGAGAGCATATTACAAGTGCTCTAAAAAGATAAATATTACAGATGAGCATCGCTCTTAATGTAGGTGAAAAAGAAACCCTGATATTTTTAAGGGTTTGTTGTCAGGGTTTTTTTTCTTCCTGAGAAGATGGGGTATCTGTTTTGCTATTTATATACTGGACAGAAAATTGTGGGGGCTCAGGTGCTCACACTTCATACAGAGATTTGAATTCTTAGTAGCTCTTAATTTTAAGCTGTAGCAAATCTTCCAGTGCTGTAATTGAAGGATGTCTTCCATTGACAGGGGGATAAAGACTTATTTTTTTTTACCTTTCCTGAATATGTTTAAGTGTTTTTATTGGCTCTTAATAAATTTTGCGCTCTGTTTTTAAATTATTCTTTAATTTTCAGCTTCTTTGTGGGTGTGCCCTGGAGGTCAGCCCACCTTGAGCCTGTGTGCAGCAGAAGTCAAGACTTGTCCTCCCTTTGGCTTCCATTTTTTCAGAGCTGTTTCCAGTTCCAGTCTCCGTGGAGCAATGAACATTGCCAGTTCAGAGGAAAATTTGCAGCTGAAATTTGATGCCTGTTTTTGGAGGCATCTGTCACAAAAGAGTTTAGGTTCTAGTTGTTTTAGCAATGTAGTCCAAGTTCTCATATCTTTGGAAGTAGCCCCTAATAACAATCATCTTTGGGTTTAATTCCAGCAAATGAACTTTGGTGTTGGTAATGTAATACTGGAGCTGTGAACTTCTTCCCAGCATGGGAATTCTTCATTTTAATGTCTCACTGAGACAGTTTGTACAGCTGAATTTGCATTTTCAAAACAAGTTTAATAATGGTAGCATTAACTCTGAAAACATGTTGTTCCTTTATATTTTGCAGTTGCTTGCAAAGTAACAGCAGAATGTTTTATTTATAGGTGACTTAGAAGAGAAATGCCCAGTGTGCTCCTGTTTCTCTGACTGGATGAAAGTGACCTGGAAGCTGATTTGCAGTGAGCAATCAGTGAAGCCACACAGGATTTTATGGAATATTGCATGATCTCATCATGAAGATCTCTCTCCTGCAGCAGATGTATAAGGATGTCCTGGCAGGCATTCCCCTAGCAAGGGAAAGCCATCATTATTCCTCTTTAATGAATCTCTGTGTGGAGCAGCCACCAGAAGGAGATGGATCCTGTCATCAGCAGCATCTGCCATCGACTGCTAGTGGCACTGGGAGCCATCAGGACTCTGATATGTCAGATGTTGTCCCTGCAACAGATGATTTATCCAGGAGCTTTGCAAACATGAGCTCCTCGCTCTGCCCCCGGGAGGTGACGCTGCTCCAGCTCACCCTGATCAAAATGATGGTGGCCAAAGCAGAGTCCCAGGAGACTGAGCTCCACACGAGACAGAAGTACTGTGAAATCTTTGTTCTTCTTCTGAAGGAGGCAAAAATTGACTCAAAATTGGTAACTGCTGAAAGATTTATTTAGGAAAGGAGGAAAAATAAAAAGGGATGTGCCTTAGATATTTTTCCTTTTTTACCTGTCTCCAGATTCACCTGCTGGGTTCTGATGATCGGCTGTTATCTCACATGGCCTCACAAAGTTTGGCATCTCTTGTGTATTTCCAGCTGAAGGAAGAGGTGAGTGTGGCATCACTTCACAGCTCAAAAAATGGCTTAGTGAACCTGTGCCTGCAGGTTGTTCCATTTCACTCTGCAGCCAAGTTTTTCTAGTGTTTGTATTTTCTAAGAAACTTTGGCAACGGTGTTGGAAGAAGCCTGGAGTATAGAAGGCCAGGAGATCTGGTGTGTAACAGAGGCATAGAGTGTCTTTATATATAAAAAATCTATAAAAATCTGTAATTTTATGAAACTCATTTAAGGTAAAATGGATGTAGATGATAAGAATCTCTTTAAGGTTGCAATACAGATATTAAAAAAGCCATGATCTAGACTATCAGTATTTTTACAGTTCCTTGGTATCTGTTGGGTGATGCAGTAGATAAAACTAAATAACAGCCTCTTGGAAGTTAATAAAATGCTTTAGTGTATGCTCTTGTTTGAGTAACCCAATTACTTGAGGTTTTTTTTAATTTGCTGTATATTTAGTGAATATGTATTGCAGTCTCCATAGTAGCATCCTGAGCACAGATTTATTTCATAATTATGTTTGTAATATTTCTCGCCAAGTTGTCTGGGAATTACGAGTTCAGATCTGGTCTGTCTACAGAATTATCTGATTTTGGGTAGGTCACATGACATGAGGAGGTTTGGTTTTCCCTTTTTGGAGCATACAGATAATTTCTATTGCATGCATATGTTGCTTCATGTTTGTAATTAAAGACCTAATTAATGGCCCAGGACAGACATTGTTTCTACCTCTGTTTTGTCTGTGCCTACATTTCAACCTTTTTAACATACAATTTGAAATCACTGTGTTATGATTTCATGTAATTTGCATAACAACTGAGAGCATCCGTGATTGGGTTTGGAATTGTTTTCCGTAGGACGCTGTGAACGTGCCGTGGCTGAGCTTCAGCCTGGCCGCGCTGCCGGGGTTCCCCGGGAGCGCGGGGGTGCCCGGCTGCCTGTGGACCCTGGCGGCGATTCTCAAGGAGACGCTGAAGGACGCGCCCGCAGCCCGAGCAGGTACCGGCGGTGCCGCCAGGAGGAGCCGCTCACCCGGCATTCCCCGGGAATGGTTCGGCTCCAGGACACCCCTGCCCTCCCTTGTACAGGGGTTGACAGAGTGCTGTTCAAATGTAGTGGTTTAAACATATTTATACTCTAAAAGTAGTCACAACACCGATTAATTTCTTATTTACTGATTTATCTGTTACACCTCAGGTCAATAACGTGCCTCTTGTTGCCGTAGGTGCTCTGAAGAAGCTGTTGGCTCCTCTTGATGCGGTGCTTGAAGGATTTTATAATGCCATCCTGCTCCATCATTTTGACAGTCACCACTACACTTCACCTTATTCTGAAGCTGCAAACAATCTGATCAGTTTTATAGATCTGCTTGAAGCACTTTTGGTTTCCAGAATTGAACTGGAAATACCATTCAGGTGCCAGAGAATTTTATTTTTGAAAGTCTCTTATGTCCTCAACGTTATTAGCTCATCGATTCCTTATGTAATCAAGAAGAAATTCATTTTGCTCCTTAAAAAATGTGTCCTTTGCAAGTCTAGAGAAGATGCTAAAGGTGGATCACAGTTCTTACAAACCCCATCTTTGTGTGAGGATATGCTTGCACTGAGTAATGTTGTTCTGCAGGTTGTGAATTTGACTTGGCTTAATCAGATCCCTCTCAGTGGGAAGTCCAGCTACTTTGGAAGCAGTGAAACTGCTCCTGGACATGATTCTCAAGGTGCTTCTGACCAAACTGTTCTCAGAGCCTTAAGTCTGGTTGTGCTTAAAGCACTGGAATTCAAGATTCAAAACGCTGCAATAGAAGCAGAAATCAAAGGTAACAGTCCATTTAAATTTTGCTCATGAAGCAGCAAGAGTTTGAGCTTTCAGATTTTGTAGTCACAGCTCATTAAGACTGTAAATAGATTTCAGCTGAATTAGTGGTGGTGGGAGGGAGGAAGGAGAAGACCCACCCAAGAAACTGCTGTTGCTGTCCTGCCTAATTAGTTGTCTCCTTGCATTTTGTCAAATCCTTAGCCCTGCAATATGTTGGGCTTCAAACAGCTGCATTTGGGATTGAAATTTTTACCTGTTAAGAACATTAAGCCAGCTTGAGAACACCAGGCTCTTCAGCTGGACAGGAAGAGTCCCTAGCACAAGCATCTGCTCAGTTCAGGGTGGGGAACTGAAAAGAGCTGCAGGTAACACTCTTCTCTTTTCTAAGGTGGAGGTAGAACTTTAAGCACCATTATGTATTTTATTGAAGGTACAAGGCATTACTGTCAGCCAAGTAATGTCATGGGGCAAAGCCAGCTGGGGTATAGACAGGTAAATAAAAACAATGAAGCTCCAAAGTAAGGCACAGGGGAATTGTGGGACACAGAATCACAGAATGGCTTGGGTTAGAAGGGGCTTTAAAGATCATCCAGTTCCAACCCATGCCATGGGCAGGGACACTTCCCATTAGAGCAGCTTGCTCCAGGCCCTGTCCAACCTGGCCTGGACATTTCAGGAATAGGGCAACCACAGTTTCTCTGGGGCCTGTGCCAGGTCCTCATCAGCCTCTCAGAGAAGAATTTCTTCCTAGTGTCCAATCTAACCCTGCCCTCTGGCAGTGGGAAGCCATTCCCCCTAGTCCTCTCCTTCCAGGCCCTTGTCCCAAGTCCCTCTCCAGCTCTTTTGGAGCACCTTTAGGCCCTGGAAGGGGCTCTAAGGTCTCCCTGGAGCCTTCTCTTCTCCAGGTGAGCACCCCCAGCTCTGCCAGCCTGGCCCAGAGCATCTCTGTGGCCTCCTCTGGACTGGCTCCAGCAGCTCCACATCCTCCCCATGTAAATGGTTGTGTTGTTTTTCACCCTGGCTGGCACATCTGGCCCTTCCAGTTACCAGGTGTGAGCATTCCTCCCACAGCTGCTGCCTTGGGCTGGCTGGCTGCAGTGAGGGGCTGGGCTGGGCAGGAGAAGGGCAGAGCTGCTGCTGTGCCAGGGCTGGGCTGGGGCAGCAATGATCTATTTACTGAGGATGTGGCCAAAAGTCATTTCTGTTTCTTTTTAAACAAGGATGAAATTTTACAGCAGTTTAAATACATTGAGGCATTTTAGTAGAAGTTCTAGACATAAATATTATTTCACTTTTTATATTTCTATACTAGGTAGCAAGCCTGAAATCAATTTTAATTCATCTGTGTGAAAGAGCTACACCTTCCATAAGACAGCTTGTGAAACTTTTTCCAGATTTTTGGAAGATGTTATATTTGTGATGTCAGTTGCATTCTTGAAGGTTTTAAAGTATTTGTAAAGAATATTTTACTTGTGATCCACATTCTGAAAAATGTATGGAGACTGAGATTGAGTAAGAGCAAGTGAAAAGAAAAAATGTCGGCTATATCCATTTTAGATATCTCTGTGAAAATTCTCTCTCAAAGAAATAGATTCTCCTCTCTTTTCCAGATTCATGACATAAAAATGAGTTTTTTAATTAGATTCAAACACCCCAACTGTCAAGAGGAATTTCCATCTGAAAAGAATGGTACTTCCTTATTTTAATGAAATTACAGGAAGTGTTTAAAACAAGCACCTTAATGCTTTAATATGCTAATTTCCCTTCCGGGAAGCTGCGTGATCTTCTTGTCATTAACATGGATTAAAGTGGCTTAACTTTAATTAATTTCAATTTTGAGAATCATTTCCAGGTTTATGGGGAAGAGTTTGTCTGAAGAGTAACTATAAATAACAAAGATAATTTGATGTTCCTGTGATTTGCTGGGAGGAAAAACAAATCTTAAAGTCAAATATTAAGGAAAATCATGTAGTGATGCAGTAAATAAAATTGATTTCAATGTTGCAGGAAAATTTTCTGTTTTCTAAACATTGAGTGTGTGCTATGTTACATCAAAAACTGCTCTGTAGTATCTCATTAGTATTGAAAGTGTAAGTTTTTTGACTTAAGGGAAAGAGTCTCTGTTTAGTGAATACAAAGTGATTTTTATGAGTAAGCTACTGCACTAAACCAGCAAGAACTAATCTATAAAATTTGATGCTGTGATAAATCAGTTGAGCTAAGGAAAAAACTGCATTCATGAACTGTTATGCACTGTTAATTTAAAAAATAGAGTGTGTGTTGTTTGGCAATAAAAATGTATAGCAAAGTTCATGATTAATTTTGTTTTCCAGGAGACTTTGAGAGCTCCATGTCCCAGCTGCTGATGTTCTGGAGGAGTCATGGAAAGCCTTCCCCACACTCTCACCCAGCTGGGCATCACTGTGAATGGCTCTCCTTGGTTTTCATGGAGCAGGATGATGACATGTGGGAAGCTGCTAAAGCTTTATTGCTCATCTATTTAAAACTTGATAGGTCAGTCTATCTTTTTATTTCTGACAGAACTGTGAAGAATTGTACTTCAGTGAGGTTACTGTGACATTCCCATTGGTTGCTGTTGTTGGAAGGAAAATAATTTTTTAATAATTTAACCCAACCCCCCCCCCCCCCCCAAACCTCTGGATGATGTAATAATGTGTGGTGTAAGAGCTGATAATTTAAGTATTTTTTGGATGGAGATAGGAGTTGTGAAAGTTTCCTACTAAATAATTTATCATATCCTGTAATTCAGGATAATTGACTTCATGTCTAAAATAGTGGTTACAGATAAAAAGCAAGATTGCTTCCTTACAACATTGAAGGTTTGACAAGAATGGGATATTAGACTTAAACTTCAATAATTCAGGTACTTCTGGCTGAGTTTATAAGGATTGGCCCTATGGGAATTCCAGCTACTTGATGTAAATGCTTCTTGCTAACAACTGAGAAGTGTTCTTCATGGATTTGTCCTGGATGTACAATGCTTCATTGTTGTTTAAATTACCATACAAGATATTATGCTGATTTATACAAGGCTCCCAAGCTTCAGGTGGGAAGATAATGCAAGTAACACCTTAGACACACACAATTCTCAGACACTTAACTACAAGTAGGCTCCTCTTCCAGTGTGTGTAACATTCTGAAAATTAGCCTGAATTCAGGTTAACAAAAATATTCAAATAAGATTGTTTCATATTGATATTAAAGTACAGTTGATGTGTTGTAAGTACCTTTGTTTACTGCAGAAGGTTTCCTAAGGAGTGCCCTTTAAGGCCTGCTTTAAATGCTTTGGCTTCCTGAGCTGTCCCATCTCCTGGTCCCAGCTGCCTTCATTCTTTCTCACTCTGATACAAAAACTTCTCTATTTGTTCTTATTTTTCACAAAATTAAAGAAAATAGCAAGAATTCATCTGGATATTGCTGCTTTAAAAAAAATTGTAAACTTCCACTAAATTATTTCCTGGTTCACTTTTCAGGTTACGGCATGGTGTTGCTGATAACCTAAGCCACAAAGAGGAGAAATCCTGGCAGTTCCTTGTGCATGCAGGTGGATGTAACCCACACTGTATCTTTTTATTTTTTCTGGAGAAGATTGCATTTGATTCCACAGTACTTCTAGATTTTCTGATTTCATCAGAAACTTGCTTTCTGGAGTACTTGGTCAGGTACTTGAAGCTCCTTGGGAAGGAGTGGCCTCACTTTGTAGAGGTCTGTAACCATTTGGATACCAGGCACAGCACTTTGCACGCAGTTGGTTCTGTCAAGCAGAGCTGCGTGACCGGGGTGAGTTTGCAGAATGCTGTTTGTGCAGCAGAGCCACAGAGTGCGATGGCTTCGGCTCCTCACAATTGCCCGGTGTTTACAGCACGGCAGGGTGATAATGGGGCTGCAGAGTGGAGCCAGTCTGACTCACTGACCGGCGCTGATAGCGCGTCCCTGCTCGGCCCTCTTCAAAGCCTGGTTAATTATGACAGCTCAGAGGACTCGGAGGTGGAATCAGATGGAAAAGAGTGTTTGGTAAACACAAAGCAATTGCCACCAAACAATGAGGGTGAGGTGAGGAGGAGGCAAACAGGTTGCAGCTGCAGAGATGATGACCGGAATTCACGCACCTCTGAAGTGTCGCCTCCGAAACTGAAGGGATCCCCTGCCTCATCCTGTTGGACTCGTATGGCATCTCCAGATAACATTGCTCCCCTAAGAGTAATGCTTTACAAATCAACAAAGTGTCTGGAAGAGCTGCAGGAGGCTATTTCTAGGTTGCAGAGGAGAAATCTTTTCCCATATAATCCATCTGCGTTGTTGAAACTGCTGAGCCAGGTTGAGAAGATGAATAAATCCATGAATCCACAATAATCCAAAGTGTTCTTGTGGGGTTTTTTAAACAAGTTCACCAGGGAATATTTCCATGAGATTAATGATTTGTTGCCTCATGCCTCTTGCGCCAGTCAGTGCATTTAACCTCAGGCAGGGTGAACATGGATTTGGTTGGAACCCTAAAATCTGGGATTGCATCCAGTGATATGATCCATGACCTGAGGGGCCTAAGCTCATTCATGGTGTGTATGTCAATGTACAGTAAATAAGGATTAGTTGTTGGATATTCAACTTTTTGTAATAAATAACTCACGTGAAAGCATTTCAAAAATATATGCTAAAGTATTGTCAATTATACTCAATGTCATTCTATTTTTAGCTCATTGCCAGATTAGTAGTGGTTCATAGACTTAGGGCAAAGTTAGTGCAACACTTGACTGCTTAGAAGTTGGGCTAAATAAAATAATATAGCTGGGGACAGTTTACTGTTCATCCTGTGTGTTCTGCATTGGTGCATTGCTCAAAGTGGACCTTCAGATGTCTCTATTCCTTTAATTAAAAGAAAAAGGAGATGTGAAATTAAAGCATATATTGTCTATGGAAAATTTTAGTTGAGCATTGTAACGTAGGTGATGCAAAAGTGACATTCCAACAGAATTTTTTGCATCCATCATGCATTTCCTATAAATATAGGATGTATATTTAATAAATCAGAAAGAGAATTAGAAAATAAGTGACTCCAGTGCAGTGAGAAGGATATTGAAGATGTTAAATTATTATACTTATATCTTTTAATAGATGTAATTTGAATAACCAGAAGAGTGAGTGTCTGAGAGTTTGCCTGGGGGAGCAAGTTCAGAGCAGGATCCAAGGCAGTTGCACTTAGCAGGAAAGCACCTGATGCTGCTTCATTTACCCTGCAGCTTGTAATGATCTGCCAAGGGTTAGGCATGGGGAAAGTACTGACAACAGGAGCACTGGGAAAACCTCAGACCTCTTCAGAGCTGTGGGAAGCAGCTTTCCTCTTAGGATCTGCTCTTGAAGGTAAGTGCTCTGTTCTGACTGAGAACAAGTGCTCTTTTCCCTTTGAATAGAAATTTAGTGTTACATTAAAATAGATGCCAAGCTGAGATGAGCAGTCTCTGGAGAAGGTTGCTGACCTTCAAATCTCTGTGGCCATCTTCTAGATTAGTCTTTAGCCCTGACAATCAATGCAACTGGGAGGGGAAGAAAATTGGATGTATTTCATGGGATCCACAAAGAGGAGGAATCCTGGCAGTTCCAGTGCTCTCCAGTGCCCCTGGAATGGTATGAGTGCACAGACAGGGAGGGTTGGACCTGTCTTACCCCTCCAGGCTGACAGCAGTATTTTAGGTAGGAAGGAGTGAAGGAGATCTGAATATTCTGGGTGTTTGCTGTACCGTGGTTTCTTCCTGAGACCAAGACAGCTGTTGTGCAGAGGGGTGGGTGGGAATGTGAAGGAGTGGAAACCTTTCCATTCATGCCTGCAGTTGCTGTAGTTAAGAGCTAACCCCGGGGTTGTCCAGGGCAGCAACATGCCTGGCCTCTCTTTGTTTGAGCCCAGTTGTGCTGTAGCTGCTGAGTTGCTCATTTCTGTCAGGACTAAAATCCCTCTGGGCGTGTTCAGAGCTGCAGCTCCAGACAACTTGGGAACTTTTTCAGTTCAAACACAGGAAGTGCCATGGGCAAGGTGGTTGAGCAAGAGTTTCTCAAGTTCACAATTTTCAAAGTAGGTAGGTGCTTATATTTCCGTGAAATCCTTTCCACTATCCTCACTCCTTTTCTAATCTAGACTTTGCTGACTAGTTTATTTTAATTGGGTAATTCTGTTGTTTACACTGAACATAAGATTCAGTGTAGAAGATGGTTCAGCATTTCTTGATCTACACTTTGCCAGTTGGAAGTATCTAAATTGCAGCAATATCTCTGACACTGATATGATAAGCTGAGTGGGAAAAATAGAGTGGTGTATGATAATTTTGGAAAAATCCTAGGCTTATTTGTCAGTGATTACTACAACTGTATAAGCTTTTATAAAGAGTTTAGACATGTCAGGACAGCGTGTAGAATGTAGCAAGAAATGTAGGTGTCCATAACCTGATTTTTTTCAATACAGCAAATCCAGTTGCAGTCCAATTGTATTTAATTCTTACAGGCTTGAGGCTGATTGTGTTCCCACCTGGTTATTAGAAATATTGGAAGTTATGTTTCCCTTCTCAGAAAGCCACTGTTTTAATTTTTAGAATGTTTTAGTTGTAAAAGTGGATGAATATAGTTTGTATCTGGCAACTAGATACCTTAATGTGTTGATATTTTACCATTTATGACCTGGGATGGATTTAAATTGAGGAGTTGGGGTTTTTTTATTGCACACAAATTGAGGGTGAACCATGAAGGTGGATTGGACTTCTTTGGCTGTATTGAGAAAACCAACCACAAAAAAAGTACCTTGCTAAAGAATTTGTGTTTTAATCAATTGGTCAGTGTAGAAAGTGGTTTGGCTAGGTTTTGGTTGGTTTTTTCAATGATATAAATTTTTAGGCACAGCTGTTATTTCATGTCCTAGAACAAATTAATTCAGCTGCAGAACCTGTTACCAGTGTTAAGTTAGAACTTGAGAATTGGGTCAATGTGCCTTACCTTTGGATATTGATAGCTGTCAACTTTTCTTGTATTATTTCAAAGCCAGACAGAACAATCAGATGACCTGTGTGGACACAGTTTTCTCTCTCAGGACTCCTGAAATGTTCACAGTTTGCCATTAATGCAGTTGTTTGGTGGAGTTTACCTTCAACATCAATAGAATCAGTTAAGCTTTAATGAGGTAAGCAGTTACCACTAGAAGTTGCTTGCAGGATGTGCTTTTTAAAAAGAGTATTTTTTAATTTAATGTTTGTAGAGCTTGATTGAAGCTATAACTGAATCCAGGTGGTTCCACAATTGTGGCTCTTCAAACTGGATTTTCTCCAATATTTTTATGGCTGCTTTTCATTCTGCTTTTAAGACTTGTAGTGCAGGTTTTAATCCTGTAATACAAGAATAAAAACCAACCTTGGGAACCTCTATACCTGCAGTACCCTTGTAAAGCTGGGAATAGGGAGCCTTGGTTGTTCCCTGGTTTATCACTGTAGGATAAGTTTGTTTGTACTTCCTCCAGAGTCAGTCTGGGATGGTTTCTGAAGCCAGTATCAGAGATTTATCACAGTGTCAGTAGGAGTGAATATATTGTGGTCATAACAATCTTCAGTGTGTTTTCCCTTAGAGTTATCCTAATGAGTTTGTAAATTCTTGCTGTATTTTGTTCAACCCTTGTGGGCTGCCTGGTTCACTCTGAAGCCCTGTTGGAAGCCAGTGATGTCAGAATGGATGGCAGCAGTTTTTTACTGTCTCTGCCCCCACAGCAGGCATGGACCTGGGCTTCATTGAGAAACATCTCAGGGATTTAAGCTTTTCTAAGTCATTATCTTCTGAACTGTTGTGTAAATGAGTTTATTGCTGATAACTGACAGACATGCCCTTTAATGCACCAGCTGGCTTGGTGCTGGCTCCAATTACATCATGAATGGAAGGAATAAAATATATTTTATGGAAAAAATTTTCATGGAGAATTACAATATCCTTAGTTATTTCTGACTCCCGCTTTTCCTGTACTGCAAAACATGAATTTTGCCAGTCAGCAGTGTCCTTTTAGGGGGGAGATTTGGAAAAAATTTGAATTGTTGGAAAAAATAGCATACACAACCTCAACAGTGAACACTGCTGAATGGTGGCTTCCTTGGTTTGTAGGGAAGGTTTGCAGGCACATGTTCTGAAATTGTCAGGAATTGTAGCTGCTAATTGGAGTTATCCAAGTATCTACCCCATCTCATCCTAGTCCTTGAGAGTTAAAAACTAATATTTTCTGTGGAACTTCTAAAATGTTCCAAATGCCCTTAGCATTTGAGAAAGTAATAGCCACGTATTAATACATGAATAATAATTTGCAGTCTATTTTGCAAAGGAATGTATATTGATTAAGTTAAAAAGACAAATGATAAAATCCTATGTCCATTTTTCTTTCCTTGCTGGAAAAGAAAAAGCTTTATCCTCAAGTGTCACCTTCCAGGGTTTGTCACATCTTGGAGTAACTTTGTCACTACAGATCTTTCATGGTTCCTTTATGCAGGGATTTAACTGAAACAGAAATTAATGCTTTCTGGGCATTTACCTCTTGTACTTGGCTTCTGTGATAATATTTATATTCAAGAAATTTGTGCCTTTCTGCTGACACCATTGCAGTTACTGTGAAAGTTAGGCAAAGACACATTAAGCAGCAAATACCAAACTCAACCAAATTTTTTAAAAAGTTATCTCTTCAAGGGAGAATCCAGTACTTGGTCACCTTCAACAGAGCATTGGTTCTTCTAAAGGAGGGTTTCTTCACCTCAGCTAAAATCACTGACCAGTGTGATGCCACTATTTTCTGTACAATTATTTACAATTATTTTCTGTAATTGTCACTTAGAGCTGATGCATAAGTGGGAATTGCTGAGTGTGAAGCATCAAAAGAATTGTCTTTGTTTCACCAAGCAAATGCTCATTTTTTATGTTTTCTGTGGGTGAATAAAGATTGATGCTCCAGGAGTCTCCCAGCAACATAATCAAACAATGTTACAGCATTGTCTTAGTGAAAGTGTTACAAATTGTTGAGGTTTATTTTCATTCTGTTGTTAAACCAGTGCTTCCAGCTCCAAGGATTAATTTTTTTTGAATCCTATGATATTCCTGTGTTATTGGAGATGGATTAAGAAACTCTGAGTTGTTTAATTAATTAATTGTTAAATCTCTTACTGCTGCAGCCAGAAAATTGAGTGAATTCTTCTCCTAGATGTTCAGATAGTGGCAGCACAGGAGTGTTGGGTGAATTGGCAGTGCTGTAGGTGGAGAGGAAAACGTGACTTTTGCCTTTGCAAATGTACTGGAACAAACTTGGTGGCAGTTCCTTATATAGATAAGCAGTTATATTTGACTTTTCTGGTGTTTCTGGTTAACAGAAAAGGGACTTGGACAAGTATGGACAAGTTGATGCTAAATCAAGGGAAAGGAAAAAAAAGCCTTCTCATGAAGATAATTTAAAGACCAAACAATTAGGATTTTACATAAAGAATGTCACAACCAAACTGAGCAGATGAACTCTTCAGCAAATCACATCCCTGTGCCCCTGCATAGGAGAGGATTCTTAATTCCTGTCCAGGAGGCTTATTGATACAGGGTGTGTTCAGTATTTAAATGGAATACAGCCAGGGGTTGTAAGAGCATAATTGTGGTGTTCCTGGCCTTGGTGGTTGAGTGTGTGAGAGAAGTTGGTTGGAAGGCAGTGCCCCCCAGGTAAGGTCTTTTCCTGGAGCCCTTTTTCCTAAGGCATCCAAAGCCTATGGCAGGGTGGATCAGCAGCAGAGGGAGTTCCTTCCCTGCACTGACTTTGTCCTTCCATTATTGCTCCTGACCTCCTCCCTTCACCCACTTCATCCAAGTCATCTTCCTCCTTATTGCTG